GGTGGGGCTGGGTTTTTTTTGGGGCTGGGGCTGGGGTGGGCTTGGGGCTGGGCTGGGGTTGGGTTTTTTGGGGCTGAGGTGGGGCTGGTTTTTTTTTCTCTTCCCTGTTCCCCTTGTGGCACTCCACAGGTCCGCAGCCCAGAACTGCACTGTGATGCGATTCCTCCTACTCCGCAAATTTCGGGGCGGGTAATCGGGGCACAGATGAGCTACTGAGAGGGTCGAAAGTGGAATATAATCCCGTTTCGTCCTGGGACTGTATACTCGAAACTTCAATCTCCGATCCTCTCAGCTGTAATGTAGGGGTGCGGGGACACTCCCACTTAAGAGAGAGCCATCGGATTGTGTTGTCACATCCCGCTTCTTCATCGACTTCCGTTCGGTGTGCCCTTCCGCGATTTCGAGCGTCATGTCGGTGCGCCCTGCCAGGATTTCGCGCTCCTTGACCTCCGTGTCGTTGCGCCCTGCCACGATTTGACCTCCGTGTCGCCTGCCACGATTTCGGACACCTTGACGTGTGCTGCCACAATTCCGAACACCTTGCTTTCTGCGTCGGTGGGCCCTGTCACGATTTCGAACACCTTGACCTTCGTGTCGGTGTGCCCTGCCATGAATTCGGACACCTTGAACGTGGCAGGGCACACCGACACACGGATTTCAAGGTTTTCGAAATCGTGGCAGGGCACACCGACACAAAGGTCAAGGTGTTCGAAATCGTGGCAGGGAACACCGACACGGAGAGCAAGGTGAAATTGTGGCCAGGCACACCGACACGGAGGTCAAGGTGTCCGAAATCGTGGCAGGGCACACTGACACGGAGGTCAAAAAAGTGGCAGTGCAGACACGGAGGTGATGTCCAGAATGCAGGGCACACCGACATGAAGGTCAAGGTGTGCGAAATCGTGGCAGGTCTGAAATCGTGGCAGGGCACACCAAAACGGGGGTCAAGGTGTTCGTGGCAGGGCACACCAACACGGCAGTCAAGGTGTTCGAAATCGTGGCAAAGCACACCGACACGGTCAGGGTTTTGCAATAGTGCTGGGCACACAAGGTGAAAGTGTTTGAAATTGTGGCAGGGCACACCAACACGGAGGTCAAGGTGTCCCAAATGGTGGCAAGGGACACCGACACAACGGTCAAGGTGGTCGAAATCGTGGCAGGGCACACCGACACGAAGATCAAGGTGTTGGAAATTGTGGCAGGGCACACTTACTCTCACACCATTCATGGCTTTGTGTATCTGTGCAAACAACGGTTTGTTCTCTTCATCATACATCCCATTCGGAAACCGGATACACTCTACTCCCTGCACAGGCGCTTGCATGAAGGCTACGCTCACATCTGCAGACAACAAGGTGCCACTTATTTCAGCCTGAATAGCAAGGACACCTCTCAAGGCTTCCAAAGGCCTGGTCTATCCCATTGGATCCAAATGCGTAGTCTCTCACAACCAAACGAGCACGAACGCGTTCAGGGTTCGTGGCAGACGGTTTAGAGTAAGAACCCACCTAGCCGTACGGATTCCCCGCGTAGCTTGTTTACGGGCCTCAGTCTCTCCTTTTATCGCAGACACCAAAAGCATCAAGTTCTGAAAGCTCGAGCCTCATACCCTCTGAACCACTGTCTGGCGTACCTCGACGATGCATACGTCGCCGCATCGCCGGCCAGAGACCGATGGTTTGTGGAATGCCCCGAAGGCCGAAGAGTTTCCAGGCTACGACAATCTGAATTCGCCGGCATGGCGGTCAAGTTGTTCGTAATCATCGCACCCAATTCAGGGTGTGCAAAAAAACCACAATTGGGAGCCAAGAAGCCCGCGGAAATCGTGGCAGGCCATGCCCCTGCACCCACAGGAAAGTCAAGGTCTTGAAAAAGTGCAGGGTACACTGGCACAAAAGTCAATTTGCAGGAAATTGTGGCAAGGCACCAACACGCAGGGCAGCATTCGGAACGCGCACAATCTCGAAAATCAAAGAATGCATGGTGCAAGCAACTGCAGAACATTTTTTTGCGTGCCCGTGTGACTAAAATCCCGTTGCTGCGCGGCAACTTGGGCAAATGCTTCCTGCAGGACGCAAAAGAATGCAGCACGACCTTTTGTTGATTTGTCGGGCAATACGGATGTGGAGCGCGCAGTGGGTATCCCGGCAACAAATTGGCTTGCGAGAAGAGGGTTTGAGCCACAGCTTGGCCACCAGGCGCTGCCATCCACGCCAGACTTCCCCCGTGTCGAAGCCACCTTGATCGTCGGACGATTTGGGATGACCTTCATGTCTGCGTCGGTGTCGATTTCGAACACTTTGACTTTTTTGTCAATGGCCTTGCCGCGACTTAGAAGAGCTTTCGAAAAAATTTTCTATTTTCGAAAAATTCGAAATGGAATCGAAAAACTATTAGATTAAAAACAATTTAATCATTTGTTATTTTCAAAAAAGGCATAGATATATTTGGAAGAGTGAGGAATCTATACCAAGACTTTCGTCAATATGACAATCGAAATCCAACAAATGTTTTTTTTGCTTCTAAAACGAACAATGATAAATCCCTGTGCGAGAAGCTTATGTTCCCACGGGCATGAGTTTTTGTATCGTCCAAAAAAGGCCTTCCATCGCTGAAAGATTGCTCCCATGAAAAATGCAAAACACTTAAGAATTGTACTTAAGGAATTATGGGAGTACGAGGCAAGAGAACCAACGCAGAGCTCCAAAACTTTTTTGCACTCATTCGCTAAGCGGCGCCGCGGTTGAAGCGCATGCGACAAGGCGGAATCAACCACGTGAGGGATCGGCTTTTATATGGCCCGAACGAATGAAATGATGCGTAGTGATCGCTTTGTGGAGCCTGCGTTGAAGATCAAAACTCAACCGCGTCATGCATTCTTCATACGCTGCGCCATGACGATGATTTTGCCGCTCATCGACCAAATCAAATGCCCCTTTGAAGAGTTCGATCCCTCCTATTTCCAAACCTGCCATGGTGAGGGCGCAATCTGGCCCGAACCCCGCGCCGCCGCAGCGCGACGTCAAACTCGTCCAAAAACCGGGTGAGGTGACGTATAGCGGGTGCTTCCATTATAACACAAACCTCGTCATACCCTGGAGCCAAGCGTTTAGTATATTCCAAACTTTGTCGACACGACACAAGATAAGCAAGGTCTAAACATGGACGGCCTGCATGAACTGCTCAAACCCAAGCCGACCCAGCGAACAGGGAGCCGTTGGTTGGCAAGCAAAGAGCCAAGAAAGGCGTGTGGAGTAATTCGGGCCCAATATTGATTCTTGTTCAAGAATAGACAATAGATCGTCTCTCTGAGTTCCGTCATCTCTCGAATCTGTGCCTAGAGGCAAGATCTCATGCACTCAGAAATTGGCGATTTGAAGACCACGTTATCCCAGCCGTGAGAATCCTAACCTAGAACTCGGCGACATTATCATGGGCCCCAATGAACAAATATACGAAGTATATTTTGAAAGCTGATAATACAAGCCATACTTATCGGAATCATTCGCCGGTGAGCAAATACAAAAGTCAAGGTGTTCGAAATCGTGGCAGGGCACACCGACACGACGGTCAAGGTTTTAGAAATAGAAGCAGGGCACACCGACACGGAGGTGAAAGTGTTCGAAGTCGTGGCAGGGCACACCGACACGGTCAAGGTGTCCGAAATGGGCAGGGCGTGGTAGGGCACACCGACACGAAGATCAAGGTGTTCGAAATCGTAGCAGGGCACACCGACACGAAGGTCAAGTTGCTTCAAGGCGTCCGAAATTGTGGTAGGGCACACCGACACGACGGTCAAGGTGTTCGAGATCGTGGCAGGGCACACCGACACGGACGTCAAGGTCTTCGAAATAGTGGCAGGGCACACCGACACGAAGGTCGGGGTCAAAGGCGCCCGAAAACCGTGGCAGGCAAGGTGCCCGAAATCGTGGCAGGGCACACCAACACGACGGTTCAAAATCGTGGCAAGGCACACTGCCACAAAGGTGTTTGAAATTGTGGCAGGCCGACGCGGCGGTCAAGGTGTTTGAAATCATGGCAGGGCAGACCAACACGGAGGTCAAGGTGTTCAGAGTTGTGGCAGGTACACCGACACGGAGGTTAAGGTTTTCAAAAATCGTGTCAGGACATACCGACACGACGGTCAAGGTGTTTGACATAGTGGCAGGGCACACCGACACGAAGGTCAAGGTGTTTAAAACCGTCGCAGGGCACACCGACACGAAGGTCAAGGTGCCCGAAATCGTGGCAGGGCACACCACACAACGGTCAAGGTCATTTTTCCATTCTACACGCCGTCAGCTCTATAGCGTAGTCAGCTAGCTAACTTGCGTACGATACATCTGCGTTGAGACGGCTCCTTGCGGAGCAATGCGTTGGCCGAAGGCCACAACGCACATCAGCACTGCATGCAAAGCACTTGCCCGAGGGTCTAGTGCAGCTGCTATTGGGCCTTGTCGGCAAGCCTGCAGACCCTGCAGCAGCCTGCAGGCCAGCAGCGCCTGCGGGCAACCTGCAGACCCTGCCGCACGCCGCCCCTACAGATCCTTCAGCAAGCCTGCAAAACCTGCTGCCTGCCTCTCCCCCAGCCTGCATGGCTTCCAGTCTTCAATTACTTGGGCATTTTCCTGCATTCACACAGAGTCCATTTCCCCTTGTAAACACAAAGGCCTGAAGGCCCCAGAGTCTGCAGGAAGCTTGAAAGCCCCTGGCCTGTAGAACTGCAAATTAAAAACCAGGTGTCACATGCTCCGCACTGTAGGAAAAGCTGGATTTTTCCGCCAGTCTAATTTCATGAAAACTAGTACTACACGCTCCGCGCTGTGGGAAAAGCTGGATTTCGCCTCGGGTGTAATTTCATCAAAACTGGTACTACACGCTCCGCGCTGGGGAAAAACCACGGTGTACTACATGAATGCATAGTTTTTTCAAAATTTTAAGGTTCATGTTATGTTTCTACTTGGAATCAAGGTACTACACGCTGTTTGCCCGCATTTCGGCTATCTTGACCTCCGTATCGGTGCGCCCGGCTTTTTACACACCATGACCTCCGCGCCGGTGTGCCCTGCCACGATTTCGAACACCTTGACCACCGTGTCGGTCTGCCCTGCCACGATTTCGAACATCTTGACCTTCGTATCGGTGTGCCCTGCCACGATTTCGAACACCTTGACCGTCGTGTCGGTGTGCCCTGCCACGATTTCCAACACCTTGACCGTCGTGTCGGTGAGCCCTGCCACGATTTCGGACACCTTGACCTCTGTCTTGGTGTGCCCTGCCACGATTTCGAACACCTTGACCTCCGTGCGGTGTGCCCTGCCACTATTTCAAACACCATGACCGTCGTGTCGGTGGGCCTGGCCACAATTTGAAAATCCGTGTCGTTGCGGCATGCCACGACTCTGAACACCTCGACCTTTGTGTCGGTGTGCCCTGCCACGATTTTGAAAACCTTGACCTCCGTGTCGGTGTGCCCTGCCACGACTCTGAACACCTTGACGTGCGTGTTGGTGTGCCCTGCCACGATTTCGAACAGCCCTGCCATGATGTCGAACAGCTTGACCTCCGTGTCGGTATGCCCTGCCACGATTGCCATCGCCTTGACTTCGTGGCGGTGTACCCTGCCACGATTTCGAACACCTTGACCGTCGTGTCAGAATCGCTGATGGTGATATCCGGGGCTTGAAGCTGCCGTGGCAGATGCATGTCCAGCTTTGAACAGAGAAGGGCTGCAGGGTGAAGGCTGTGAAAAAGGCGCTTGTGACAATGGCTGGCAAGCGGCGAAAATCGTGCAACTGTTTGCTCTGCGCAGTCAGTTGCTTATCCGCCAACATCACTTTCAGTCGACGAGGACTGCAGAGCCCCCAGGCTCCGCAGGTGTGTGTAAACTGGATATGAAGATCAAGTATGCGTTGCGCAGTATCTGCTGAGTGTCTTGTGGGGAGGGAGATCCTGCAAAACAATGCCTCACTGTCCCGCAAGTACACTCAAATGCCTGCACTTGTCTCTGAGCGTAGTACTCGTGTACAGGTCTGCTACACGCGCTTTCTCAAGGGTTATACGGTTTACCAGTCTTTCAAATGCTCAAGTAAGGCCTCACAATCCCCTTCAAGGGCTCCAAAACCTCATCAGGACCTCCCAGAGCCTTTTTTCCAACTTTTGCGGGCTGCCCGTTGGAAAAATCGCTGAAAAACGTGGTATCGCGCGGGTCCACATTCAGGACCGACAAACGACGAGAAACATAGGACGCATCAGAGTACCCCCCCAGTGGCAACCTGAATGGCGCCTATATGAATAAGTACAGGCCCACCACCGACCGCTTGCCACGCAGCGGTGCATTTTTATTGTCTTATGTCGGGAGCGGTCCTCACGTCGGGCAAAATTTCGGCGAGCTTCAAAAGTGTGTCTTCTCATCAGAAATCGCACAGTTTTTGGCCTTCATTTTGAGGCCAGAAATTGGGTCCCAAAACTGGGTCTGCCTGATTCGAAACTCTTAGAGAAGATCCCATTTCGGGCTTCGCTTTGGGGCCCAAAAATAGGACCCCAGAATGGGCCGTGAAACGTGGCAAGTGTGCTTTCAATTTTGCGGAGACACGCAAAGCATGCACCACATGTTTGGGTCGGGCGCAAAGATAGTCAGCGGTCGCTTAAGACTGTTGGCAATAGCGTTATAACGGAACAAGTATTGCACATGACAAGCTGAATTGCAACTGCGGGGGCACTCAAACGTGTCCTACGCTTCTTGTGTCTTTCTGGGGTCGGATTTGGCTTCACTTGAGGCACATTCTCCAAACCCCCAGCAAAGGGCCTACCTTGTCCCAAATCAATAAGTGTTGTCGAAAATCCCCTTTCCCCAATGGCAATGTTGCAACACGTTGGTCATGTCAGACCGACCTTCGGCATCCAACATTGCCATTGGGGGCTCGGGGGCACACGCAAGGGCTTGTGACCGGAGACAAGCATCCTTTTCCAGGCTCTTCAGGCTCCAAGTCCCTGCGATTTCAAGGTAGCTCTCAAGGTCGGGCTGCGCTGCTTACTGCGTTCTGCAGACCCTGCATGTAACACTGCAGCAACCTGCAGACCCTGCAGACCTGCAGCAAGCACGCGGACTCTGCAGCAAGCCTGCAGGCCCTGCAGCAGCCTGATGCAGCAAGCCTGCAGACCCCTGCAGCAAGCCTACAGCTGCAGGGTCTGTAGGCTGTCGGCAAGCCTGCAGACCCTGCAGCAGCCTGCAGGCCAGCAGCGCCTGCGGGCAACCTGCAGACCCTGCCGCACGCCGCCCCTACAGACCCTACAGCAAGCCTGCAAAACCTGCTGCCTGCCTCTCCCCCAGCCTGCATGGCTTCCAGTCTTCAATTACTTGGGCATTTTCCTGCATTCACACAGAGTCCATTTCCCCTTGTAAACACAAAGGCTTGAAGGCCCCAGAGTCTGCAGGAAGCTTGAAAGCCCCTGACCTGTAGAACTGCAAATTAAAAACCAGGTGTCACATGCTCCGCGCTGTAGGAAAAGCTGGATTTTTCCGCCAGTCTAATTTCATGAAAACTAGTACTACACGCTCCGCACTGTGGGAAAAGCTGGATTTCGCCTCGGGTGTAATTTCATCAAAACTGGTACTACACGCTCCGCGCTGGGGAAAAACCACAGTGTACTACATGAATGCATAGTTTTTTCAAAACTTTAAGGTTCATGTTATGTTTCTACTTGGAATCAAGGTACTACACGCTGTTTTCCCGCATTTTTTGAGTGTAGTACTCGTGTACAGGTCTGCTACACGCGCTTTCTCAAGGGTTATACGGTTTACCAGTCTTTCAAATACTCAAGTAAGGCCTCACAATCCCCTTCAAGGGCTCCAAAACCTCATCAGGACCTCCCAGAGCCTTTTTTCCAACTTTTGCGGGCTGCCCGTTGGAAAAATCGCTGAAAAACGTGGTATCGCGCGGGTCCACATTCAGGACCGACAAACGACGAGAAACATAGGACGCATCAGAGTACCCCCCCAGTGGCAACCTGAATGGCGCCTATATGAATAAGTACAGGCCCACCACCGACCGCTTGCCACGCAGCGGTGCATTTTTATTGTCTTATGTCGGGAGCGGTCCTCACGTCGGGCAAAATTTCGGCGAGCTTCAAAAGTGTGTCTTCTCATCAGAAATCGCACAGTTTTTGGCCTTCATTTTGAGGCCAGAAATTGGGTCCCAAAACTGGGTCTGCCTGATTCGAAACTCTTAGAGAAGATCCCATTTCGGGCTTCGCTTTGGGGCCCAAAAATAGGACCCCAGAATGGGCCGTGAAACGTGGCAAGTGTGCTTTCAATTTTGCGGAGACACGCAAAGCATGCACCACATGTTTGGGTCGGGCGCAAAGATAGTCAGCGGTCGCTTAAGACTGTTGGCAATAGCGTTATAACGGAACAAGTATTGCACATGACAAGCTGAATTGCAACAGTGTGGCAACCTGAATGGCGCCTATATGAATAAGTACAGGCCCACCACCGACCGCTTGCCACGCAGCGGTGCATTTTTATTGTCTTATGTCGGGAGCGGTCCTCACGTCGGGCAAAATTTCGGCGAGCTTCAAAAGTGTGTCTTCTCATCAGAAATCGCACAGTTTTTTGGCCTTCATTTTGAGGCCAGAAATTGGGTCCCAAAACTGGGTCTGCCTGATTCGAAACTCTTAGAGAAGATCCCATTTCGGGCTTCGCTTTGGGGCCCAAAAATAGGACCCCAGAATGGGCCGTGAAACGTGGCAAGTGTGCTTTCAATTTTGCGGAGACACGCAAAGCATGCACCACATGTTTGGGTCGGGCGCAAAGATAGTCAGCGGTCGCTTAAGACTGTTGGCAATAGCGTTATAACGGAACAAGTATTGCACATGACAAGCTGAATTGCAACTGCGGGGGCACTCAAACGTGTCCTACGCTTCTTGTGTCTTTCTGGGGTCGGATTTGGCTTCACTTGAGGCACATTCTCCAAACCCCCAGCAAAGGGCCTACCTTGTCCCAAATCAATAAGTGTTGTCGAAAATCCCCTTTCCCCAATGGCAATGTTGCAACACGTTGGTCATGTCAGACCGACCTTCGGCATCCAACATTGCCATTGGGGGCTCGGGGGCACACGCAAGGGCGTGTGACCGGAGACAAGCATCCTTTTCCAGGCTCTTCAGGCTCCAAGTCCCTGCGATTTCAAGGTAGCTCTCAAGGTCGGGCTGCGCTGCTTACTGCGTTCTGCAGACCCTGCATGTAACACTGCAGACCCTGCAGACCTGCAGCAAGCACGCGGACTCTGCAGCAAGCCTGCAGGTTCTGCAGCAGCCTGATGCAGCAAGCCTGCAGACCCCTGCAGCAAGCCTACAGCTGCAGGGTCTGTAGGCTGTCGGCAAGCCTGCAGACCCTGCAGCAGCCTGCAGGCCAGCAGCGCCTGCGGGCAACCTGCAGACCCTGCCGCACGCCGCCCCTACAGACCCTTCAGCAAGCCTGCAAAACCTGCTGCCTGCCTCTCCCCCAGCCTGCATGGCTTCCAGTCTTCAATTACTTGGGCATTTTCCTGCATTCACACAGAGTCCATTTCCCCTTGTAAACACAAAGGCCTGAAGGCCCCAGAGTCTGCAGGAAGCTTGAAAGCCCCTGACCTGTAGAACTGCAAATTAAAAACCAGGTGTCACATGCTCCGCGCTGTAGGAAAAGCTGGATTTTTCCGCCAGTCTAATTTCATGAAAACTAGTACTACACGCTCCGCGCTGTGGGAAAAGCTGGATTTCGCCTCGGGTGTAATTTCATCAAAACTGGTACTACACGCTCCGCGCTGGGGAAAAACCACGGTGTACTACATGAATGCATAGTTTTTCAAAATTTTAAGGTTCATGTTATGTTTCTACTTGGAATCAAGGTACTACACGCTGTTTTCCCGCATTTTTTGAGCGTAGTACTCGTGTACAGGTCTGCTACACGCGCTTTCTCAAGGGTTATACGGTTTACCAGTCTTTCAAATGCTGAAGTAAGGCCTCACAATCCCCTTCAAGGGCTCCAAAACCTCATCAGGATCTCCCAGAGCCTTTTTTCCAACTTTTGCGGGCTGCCCGTTGGAAAAATCGCTGAAAAACGTGGTATCGCGCGGGTCCACATTCAGGACCGACAAACGACGAGAAACATAGGACGCATCAGAGTACCCCCCCGTGGCAACCTGAATGGCGCCTATATGAATAAGTACAGGCCCACCACCGACCGCTTGCCACGCAGCGGTGCATTTTTATTGTCTTATGTCGGGAGCGGTCCTCACGTCGGGCAAAATTTCGGCGAGCTTCAAAAGTGTGTCTTCTCATCAGAAATCGCACAGTTTTTGGCCTTCATTTTGAGGCCAGAAATTGGGTCCCAAAACTGGGTCTGCCTGATTCGAAACTCTTAGAGAAGATCCCATTTCGGGCTTCGCTTTGGGGCCCAAAAATAGGACCCCAGAATGGGCCGTGAAACGTGGCAAGTGTGCTTTCAATTTTGCGGAGACACGCAAAGCATGCACCACATGTTTGGGTCGGGCGCAAAGATAGTCAGCGGTCGCTTAAGACTGTTGGCAATAGCGTTATAACGGAACAAGTATTGCA